GACAAATAGTGACAGTTTTACTTCTTCCTTTCCTATTTGGATCCCTTTTATTTCTTATTGCTTAATTGTGCTGGCTAAAACTCCCAGTATTATATTGAATAAGAGTGGCAACAGTGGGCATACTTGTCTTGTTCCTGTTCTCAGAGGAATAGCTTTCTCTTTTTCACTATTGAGAATGATGTTGGCTGTGGGTTTGTCTTATATGGCCTTTATTATATTGAGGTACTTTCTTTCTATATTCATTTTATTGAGAATTTTTATCATAAATGGATGTTGGATCTTGTCTAATGCTTTCTCTGCATCTATTGAGATGATCATGTGATTTTTATTCTTCATTTTGCTAATGTGGGGTATCATATTGATTTATTTGTGGATGTTGAACCACTTCTGTGTCCCTGGAATAAATCCCGCTTGATTGTAGTGTACAATCCTTTTAATGTATGGTGTATTCAGTTTGATAATATTTTGTTGAAGATTTTTGCATCTGTGTTCATCAGTGATATTGGCCCGTAATTTTTCTTCTTTGTGTTGTCCTTGTCTGGTTTTGGGATCAGGGTAATGTTGGCCTCAGAGAATGAGTTAGGTAGTGATACAGGTCCTCTTAAATATTTCATAATAGTTTGAGAAGGATAGGTATTAAATCTTTTTTGAATGCTTAGTACAATTCACCAGGAGAGCCATCTGGTCATGGACATTTTTTTTTTTTTGGGGGGGGGGGTTGATTTCTGTTTCAATCTCTTTACTTGTTATTGGTCTGTTCAGATTCTCTATTTCTTCTTGATTTGTTTTGAGAGGTCGTATGATTCTCAGAATTTATTCATTTCTTCTAGGTTATGCAATTTGTTGGCATATAACTTTTCATAGCACTCTCTTATAATCCTTTGTATTTCTGTGATATCTGTTGTAATTTCTTGTTTTTCATTTCTGATGTTATTTATCTGAGTCTTCTCTCTTTTTATTAGTGAGTCTGGCTAACGGTGTGTCAATTTTGCTTATCTTCTCAAACAACCATCTCTTAGCTTCATTAATCCTTTCTATCATTTTTTAGTCTTTATTTCGTTTATTTCTGCTCTGATTTTTATTATTCCTTTCCTTCTACTGACTTTGGGCTTTGTTCTTCTCTTTCTGGTTCTTTTAGGTATAGTGTAAAATTGCTTATTTGAGATTTTTCTTCTTTCCTGAGGTAGGCCTGTAGTGCTATAAATTTCTTCTTTTCCTGCATCCCATAAGAGTTGCTATGTTGTTTTTTCATTTTCATTTGACTCCAGGTATTTTTTGACTTCTCCTTGATTTCTTCATTGATCCAATGGAAGTTCAGTAACACGTTGTTTAGTCTCCACATATTTGTGACTTTCCCAGCTTTTTTCCTTGCAGTTGATTTCTAGTTTCATACCACTGTGATCAGAAAAGATGCTTAATATGATTTCAATCTTTTTAAATTTATTGAGGCTTGCTTTGTTTCCCAACATATGGTGTATCTTTGAGAATGTTCTAAGTGCACTTGAGAAGAATGTGTATTCTGCTGTTTTTGGATGGAAAGTTCTATATATATCTATTAAGTCCATCTGGTCTAGTGTTTCATTAAAGTCCACTGTTTCCTTGTTGACATTCTGTCTGGATGATCTATCCTTGATGAAAGTAGGGTGTTAAGGTCCCCTACTATATTGTGTTGCTGTCAATTTCTCCCTATAGGTCTGTTAATAGATGCTTTACATACTTTGGTGCTCCTGTGTTAGGTGCATATATATTCATAAGCGTTATGTCTTCTTGTTAGAATGTCCCTTTTATCATTATATAATGCCCATCTTTGTCTCTTGTTATCTTTTTTAAGTCTGTTTTGTCTGATGTAAGTACAGCTAAACCTGTTTTCTTCTGCTTGCCATTTGCCTGGAGAATCATCTTCCATCCCTTTGCTCTGAGTCTATGTTTGTCTTTAGAGCTGAGATGTGTTTTCTGGAGGCAGCATATTGTTGAGTCTTGTTTTTTAATCCATCCAGTCCTCATGTGTCTTTTGATTGGTGAATTCAATCCACTTGCATTTAGAGTGATTATTGATATATGAGTATATTAATCCTGCCATTTTATCTTTTGTTTTCCAGTTGTTCTGTATTTCCATTCTTTCTTTTTCCTCGCATTTCTGTCTGCCATTTCACTTTGGTGGTTTTCTGAGATGGTTTTCTCAGTTTTCTCTTTATGATTTGTGACTCTGCTCTGATTTTTTGCTTTGTGGTTACCATGAAGTTTGTGTAAAAGTTGTCATAGATGAGATAGTTCTTTTTCTGATAGCCTCTTATCTCCATTAGCCTACTCAGTCCCATCTGGTTTTTTTTCCTCTTCTATGTTTTTGTTGTCAAAAATTCTTCTTTTTTGTGTTGTGAGTTTGTGACTAAACTGTATTGGTTATAGCTATTTTTGATGCTTTCTTTCTCTTTATCTCTTATGTTGTAATTAAATGTTTACAACATAACCTATTCTGATATAAACCTGCAATTTTCTGATTCTGCCTATCTACTTATCTTCTTGCTCAAGGTTTTGTAAACTTTGCCTTTTAGTTTCAAATCCGAGGACTTCTTTCAATGTTTCTCGTAAGGCGGGTCTAGTGGCAATGAACTCCCTCAGCTTTTGTTTGTCTGGGAAAGCTTTATTTCTCTGCCATACCTAAGGGATTATTTTGCTGGATAGAGTATTCTTGGCTTAGTTTTTGTCTTTCAGTATTTTGAAGATATCATTCTATTCTCTTCTAGTCTGTATGGTTTTTGTTGAGAAATCCACTGAAATCCTGATGGGGGTTCCATTGTAGGTTATTTTCTCCTGCCTTGCTGCCCTTAATGTTTTTTCTCTTTCACTGACTTTTGCCTGTTTTAATATTATATGCCATAAAGTCTTTTTGCATTGATATAATTAGGAGTTCTATTAGCTTCATGTACTTGCGTGTCCAGTTATTTCCCCAGGTTTGGGAAGTTCTCAACTATTATGTCTCTGAATAAGGTTTCTGCTCCTTTCTCCATCTTTTCTCCTTCTGGAATACCTACAATCCTTATGCTATTTTTCCTAATTGAGTTAAATATTTCTCAAAGAATTTCTTCATTTTTAAAAATATTATATCTCTTTCCTCTTCTACCTGACTCATTTCTAGCTTTCTACCCTGAGCTCACTAATTCTCTCCTCCACATGGTCTGCCATTTTTTTGAATGCTTTCCACATTATTTTTCATCTCATTTATTGTGTTCTTAATCTCCAAAATGTGGGTTTTTTTATAGTGTGTCAATCTCTTTGATGAAGTACTCCTTCTGCTCATTAATTTTATTTTTCAGCTCATGGAGCTGTCTTTCTGAGTTTTCATGTAACTTGAGTTTCTCTTTGACAGCGACTTTGAATTATCTGTCAGTCAGATTGTAATCTTCTGTGACTTCAACTTTGGTTTCTGGAGAGCTGTCATTCTCCTTTTTTGCCATGTTACTGTAGTTCTTCACAGTGTTTGATGAACTGATCCTCTGCCAGCACATTTGTGGTAGTAACCACCTTTCTTATTTGGGTACAACTTTGGTTACTTGGTTCTGTGCTGCTTCTAGTTGTATTTGAGAGCCTGCATTTTCCACCCTCCATTGCCTCTGCCAGGATGGTCATCAGTTCCCTCCTTCTGCTGCTTGTGCCTCTGTGGTTGCTGGTGCCTTTGCTTTAGTCTCAAGTGTTGCCACTGGGGTTACCAGGCTGTGAGCACTTCTCCTGCTTCTGGAGTTGCCTGGGTCTCATGTTCCACCACTGGCCCTCCATGGGCTCAGGTACTGCTGCCCTATGCACCATCTGTGCTGCTGCTCCTGGGTTATCTTGGGGTGCTGACAGCACTGCTCCCAGGGCACTGTGTTCATGTGTGTTGCTGTTGCTGCCAAGGTCTTGGGTTTTTGTATGCAGCCTCCACTCCTGGTAGAGCCAGTGTGGTGGGTGCTGCCACTGGGGGCTGGGTCTGAGGTTCTTCAGTATTTCCTGAAGCCTCAGGTTGTAGGTGTCACCTGCCACTGCTGGGGGAAGGACGGGGGCTAAGATGCAAGTGTTGTTGCTGTTTCTGCCATCTCTGGTCACTGGAAGACGCTGGTGTGTTTTTGAGACCTTAGGTCCGGGCACTGTGCTCCTGCTGGGAAAAACCATGTTTTGCTTGCTGCCCCACTGCTGGAAAGACTGGTATCACTGCCAGGGGAGAAGAATGGGACTGGTTCACTGCCTCGACTCTGTGACCTGAAACCTCAGGATGTGTGCACCACGTGCTACTGCTAGGGGAGCAGGGCACAAGCCATGAGTGAGTGCCACTGCTGTTCATGCAGTCTTTGGTCGCAGGCACTGGTGTGCTGGTGTGCTCTGAAATGCTGGGTTAGGGCCTCCTGCCCCTGCCAGGGAAATTCATGTTTTGGATACTATCCCCACTACTAGAAAGACTGATGCCACAGCTAGGGGAAGAGGAGGGAGCTGAGTTGTTAGCTCCACTCCGTGTTCTAAAGCCTCAGGCAATGTGCACCACCTGCCACCGGCCGGGGGGTGGGGAGGGGAGACGGGGAAGGGGAGGGGCCAAGCCAGGAGGGACATTTGTGCTATTAGTAGCTGGTGTGAATGCTGTGTGAGGATCCATGTTTTGGATTGCCACCACCTTGGGAGGGAAAGGTGGTTGCTCCTCTAGTTCCACCCCCTCCCAGAGGTCCAGTCCACCCACCTTCAAAAGTATAGATGAGTTTATCACTGACATTTTGGTGTGCTGTGTAGGGAGTCCTTTGTCAGTCAGAGGATGTCTGACTGGTTGTAACTTAGAGGGGAGAGATAAAGGGAACAACTCACTATGCCATGATACTGATGTAACTCCAACTTAGTACATTTTTCAAAACTTTTTCACATCATTGACGTCACCAATTGAACACTCTTCCCAAATGGGGAGAGACGTGTGAAAGGATCTCTTGCCCTTCCTCTTAGGGTTCTTCCTCTGTTCAGTGTCACAACTTTGAAATGAGACTGAAGTTGAGTGTCCAATAGCACAAGCTTTATTAAATGGCCAAAGAATGGAGAAGTGGGAACGAAGTGCAAAAATCAACTTCTCAGCTCCTGGGTTAATTAAGCAGCTATTTATACGGGGTCTAGGTAATGAAGGGGAGGAATACTCACATTTATTTGGGGAAACAGGCAGGCTTTTCTAGGGAGCAAGGGTGCCACCTTTTTTCTTTCCTTATTTGATTATATCCTGCTGTTGCCATGGCAGTTGTAAACTGTCATGGAGTCGGTGGGTGTTTTGTATACTATGGTAAGGTATCACAATGAGTGTATAATGTGCTGCAGGTCTATGTCAAGTCAAATCAGAGTGCCATGTTGCCTTCAATCAATTTTGACTCGTTTTGTTCAGCCATCTTATCCTTCCTTTCTTTGTGGTTTCCTGCAAGCAAAAGATAACATGTTAGGATTGTTCTGAGCAGTGTTGTGGTTAATGTCTTATGGGGCCAAAGGCTTGGATGACAATATCACTCCATGAATATGAGGTAATCAGAGAAGAGATATTATGTCTATTTTACCAATGACGACACTGAAAGCCAGAGAGGGAAATATAAAGCAGGCAGTGGGTGACAAAGCAGACGGGACTAGAACTTGGGCCAAAAGTCAGAGAGTAGAGGGCATGTAGGAGGGAGCACAAAATGGCACAGAGCACTCACAGTCAGCATGACCCCCTCCCATGCTTCTGGACAGGATCTTGTAGAGATGCTTCAGAGTAGAACTTTACAGTATAGCTTTCCTCTTGGTCCCTGTGGTCCCTTGGTTTGTTGCCTCACTATTAACTGGAATCAGAAACATAGGGCCAAAGCTGATAGGATGACTGCCTACAGTTGAGTATCTGATAACTAGATTTGGACTTTCCTGCTCCGTACCTGAGATACCTAACTCCATGTCAGATGATTTAGGAGGCTACCGCACCCTTTCTTTGTCTGACGTAGCAATTATCTGTGCTTAACATTTCTAGTTTCTTTGATCACCACCCAAATCATAACCCCATTGGTCCCATATTCTCTTCTGTACTCTTAACAAAAATACCCTGATTTTTCTCCTTTGATCCAACACCCATTTCCTCCCATGCTTCACAAAACTTTAAATTGCACTCTCTGGAAATCCAGCTACATGACAAGAAAACCCCCTTCATTCCTTAGAATTTGGTTATTGACTGTTCTTTGCATTTCCTGGCTTTACCTGTAACCTGCATTTCCCTTGAGGACATTGCTGCCCTCCTATATGTCACAAGTAGAGACAGCTCATTCTCCCAACTTCTAAAGTACCTCAGGTTGGGGCTGTGGCGTGTTCTCTTTGTTTCTTATGATTCCTTTCAAACCACCGTTCCTCCCTTGCTATTAGAAAATCTCTTGCTCCTTAGAAGCTAGTGCTACCCACTACCATTTCCCTGCCACTGTCACTTTCATGTCTCCTGGATACTCTCTTTTTCTGTGAAAACTTTGACATTGGTTGCAAAGTCTTACTCTTGAGTCCATCATCCTGAGTGACCTCAATATCCATGGCGATGACCCCATTCAATGCTAAGGCCTCTCCTTTCCTTGATTTCTTTATCACCGCCTGCATTCTACTTCAGCTACCTATGCCCATACCTGTTTTTTTCTGTTACTCAAGAATTATCTCACTTCTGAAATCACTTATTTGTACATTCTATTCTCTGACCACTACTTTCTATCCTTACAGTGTAATGACTCATTGGCTCGCACGTCCATGGGGCCTCCAACCCACTGACTCTTACTTTCTTCTTACTCTACTGTGATTCCTCTGCTGCCTTTCTTTCTCTCCTTATCCACTTCAGAGTCTATGGTCTGTAATTTCAGTAACTTTCTTACCAGTGTTGTAAACTCTCTTGTCATACTATCTTTTTATTGCACATTCCTGCGGGTAAAACCCTGCCTGGTTGATTCCAACTATTTGACTTCCCTGTATTGGTGAATGCTGCTGGAAAAAAATTCACACAACCTGGAATTGATATTAAATTAATGGTCTAACTTCAACTCTATCCTAAACAATACCGACAGTACTCAATACCAGAAAGTTCACGGCAATATTGTTTATTAGAGTCAAAAAATTGAAAACAAACCAAATGCTTATAAATAAGGATTTAGGTAAATTGTGGTGTAGCCACATCATGGAATACAAAATGGAAATCTCCAGATGCAAACATAAAGAGAAGTAAGTACCTGAGGTGAAGCTGTAACACTGTAGGATGGGGTGGAGGGTGGATTATTGAATTTGATAATTTCTAGGGGTTTTGGTTTTTCTGCCTATCTAGATGGAACTAAAAATCTATCCATCATCACAGTGAAATGACTAGATCTCTGGGATTCAAGTTAAAAACAAAGTTTCTCTTGAGATATAGAAATATTATGCCTACCTCTTGCCCGATTTTTGAGTTCAAAATTTAAACTACATGACATATAAACCCACAGTCAACAAAGTGGTTTCAGTCAATGTTCCCTCTGAGGTGTTAGGAAGATGCAAAGTTTATCACTCCACAGGAACAACACCATAACCCAGACAACAAAGACTTCACGTAGGAAAGCCCCACTGAAGATGAGCTCACAATCCAATATTATAAAACACAGGAGCAAACAATTCACATGAGCCATTGTCAGGATACAACAAAGAGGAGATTTACACACATTTCACACAGAATTCCATATAATTCAAGGCATAAAACAAGGACTTGAAATTCTAAAAAAAGGAACAAGATACCAAAGAACAAATGGCCAAAGGAAAAAACCAAGAATGAAAAATGTGATCATTACAACAAAAAACTCAGTGGACATGGCAAACTACAGACTGGACACTGCTTTGTAATACCCGAATGAAAAATAAGGTCTTTGAAATAACAATAAGAAAACTGCAGTGAGCAAGATAGAGATGGCATTTGGAGCAACTGAAGAGAGAAAGAGAGGATAAATGTCAGGGAATTATCAAGAGATAGCACAAAGACATGAAAAGAAGGAAAATGTGTGTGATACTGTGATTTATAACACATATATATTTGATCATTCAGATGACCAAAATATATTTCTCATATATATTTGGTCTTCATCTATAATTCCTGGCTCACAGCTCCCAAAACCCTTGGAATTTTCTGAGCAATAAGAGCCATGAGAGACTCTTTTGTTATAACATTCAGCCTCTTGTCCTCAGTTCCAGAAGTTGCTTCAGACCCATTAAAGTGAAATGAGTGTCTTGTTATTCAAGATGCCCCCTTCTACCACAAATGGGTGTACGTTAATGAGTAGACTTTGGGAAAGCTCCTAAGGATGGGTGCTGGTTGCCAGGGAACCAACCATGTGATTAGAGGATTCAAACTTTCATTCCCACCTCTCTGACCTCTAGGGAAGGGACAGGGACTGGAGGTCGAATCAATGACCAATGCCCAATGATTTAACCAATTATGTATGTGTAATAAAGCCTCCATTGAAACCCAAAAGGATAGGTTTTGGAGGGCTTCCAGGTTGGTGAACACTTGCAGACATGGAGAGAGTGGCATGCCTAAAGAGGGCATAGAAGCTCCATGCCCCTTCCCACGTACCTTACCCTATGCATCTCTTCCACCTGGCTCTTTTTGAGTTATATCCTTTTATAATAAACTGGTAGTCTAGGAAGTAAAATGTTTCTGTGAGTTCTGTGAGTTGCTCTAGCAAATTAATCAAACCTCAGAGGGGGTCATGGGAACCTCTGAAGTATAATCTGATCAGATGCACAGGTGATAACCTGAATTTGCATTTAGCATCTGAAGTGGAGGACAGTCTCATGGGACTGAGCCCTTAACCTGTGGATTCTGATGCAATCTCTGGGCAGATAGTGTCAGAATTGAGTTGAATGATAGAACACCCAGCTGGTGGGACACACCCCCCCACTATGGAATTTGGTGAAAAGAAGAATTTAATATGCAAGAAATGTTGAGAGGTATGTAGAATAGAATTTAAAATTCCAACTTATATCTAATAAGAGTGCAAGAAGGAGAAACTAGAAAGAATGAGGAAGAGGAAATATAAGAGTGATAATAAGTGAGTTTGTCCCAGAAATGATAAAACATTAATCCTCAGATTCAGGGCACACAATGGATTCTTAATAGAAGACATAAGAAACTCACACCTAGACATAGAGGGAAACTATAAACATTAAAGACAAAGAGATCTTAAAAGCAGTAAGAGAGAATAGACAGGTTTCCATAAAAGAATTAAACTAAAAACAGACAAAAAAAAAAAAAGCAAAAGATGGAAGACTGTATAATGTTAGCTTCTAAGTGCTGGAGAAAATAACTATTAATCTAGAATTTCATACCTATCCAAATTATCATCCAAGATTGACAGCTAAATTAATAGATTTTCATCATTTAAGACCAAGTGCTGACCAAAGACTAGGATAGTTAACCACTAATAAGCTCTTATTAAAAGAAAAAACAAAGGGCAAGAAAAAGAAATTGGACCCCAGGAGGAAGGAAATGCAAGAAGTAAGGCCACAGAGCAGGGGACCATGAGCGAGAATGGGTAAGTAGGAAGCCTTGCACTAGAGTGTCAACAAAACTTGCTGCAGTGTGTGTGCACACTGCTGGCAGTCCCCTTGCTGTAGAAGAAGAAAAAAATGGAAACACATTTGAACTAGAAAGACAAGCCCCTCCCTCCCTCTGTGAGCCTCTCGGGCCCTCTACTGAGCATGCTTAAGGTTACATAGTATCGACTGGCAAAGGAGCAGTGTTTACAGGGCTGAGCTCCAGTATCACAAAATGGGGCAATGAAGAGTGGGTTTGGAGCCGAGAGGCAATAATTTGGTAACCGGCATGTCAATTAATGAACAAAGAAACTGGTAAACATAGGTAAATCCAAACAAGTACCATGTGACTAAAATGATAATAATAATAGTATAATATAACATAGTAGTTTGGGGGACGGAAAAACCAAAGTGAAATAAAATGCTGGACAACAATAACAAAAAAGAGAACGGAGTAATTGAAGTTAAATCACTCTAATGTCCTTATAATATGTACCTTAAAGATGAAAATTTCTGACAATTTCTTGGTAGTAGATGCACTTTACAGATGGCTCGTTACATGGCTGTTGGTGAGAGGTCTCAGTTCCTTGTTGGTTGTTTGCAGAAGGCCTCAATTCCTCACCCTGTGGGCCTTTGTCCAATTAATTTTGTAAGATCTTAATAACCTGAATACAAAACCATAACAACGACATTACAAAAAAAGTAAACTATAGGACAGTATTAATCAAAATCAAAAAACAAAAATCCTAAACAAGTGTTAGCTAGCCTCAGCCAGCAGCCCATACAAAGGCTAAGACAGCAGGACCATGATGAGTTCTTCCAAGACTTTAAGATTGACTTAACATTTAAGAATCAATCAATAATTTACATTATTAACAGAATACAGGTGAAAAGCCATACTACCATCTCAATAGATACAGAAAAAGCATTTGATAGAATACTCATCCATTCTTGATAAACTCTTTAAAAAATTAGGAATAGAAAAGAATTTCTTTAATCTGACAAAAAATTGTCTACAGAAGTCCTATGAGAAGCCATAATAAAATGCTAATAACTTTCTTTTGACATTGGGAATGAGACAAAGAATTCTACTGCCAGCACTTTTATTCATCATATACTGAAGATTCCAGTAGTAGAATAGGCAAGAAAAAGAAATAAAAAATATAAAGATTGGAAAAGAAGAAATGACATTGACATGACCGTGTACGTAGAAAATCCAAAAAAATTTAGAGTTTAACTATTAGAAATAAGTGAAGTTATTCTTGTACTAGATCAAGATCAAAAAACAAAAATTGATTGTATATCTTCTTACCAGCAATAACTATCTAGAAAATAAAATTTTAAAGATCTTACCATTAACAGTAGGATCAAACTTATCAAGTATCTCAGAGTAAATCAAATGAAAGATCTGCAAGACCTCTACAGAAATTTGTTAATTATTACTTAGAGAAATTAATGAAAATCTACATAAATGGAGGGATGTAACATGTTCATGGATGGGAAGACTCAACATTGAAAATATGACAATTCTCAATTCTCTCCAATTTGATAAGATTTAGAGCAACAGCAAACCAAATACTAGTAAATTTAGCTTTTTTTTTAAATTTTGAAGGTGGATGAAAATGACATCCAGATTCTAGAATTTACACAGAAACGCAAAGAATTAAGAAGAACCAAGACAATTTTGAAGAATAATACAATTGGAGCACTTACTTTAGTAGATTCAAGCCTTATTATAAAGCTACAATAATTAAGACAGCATGGGACAGTAATTAAGACAGCAAAGATAGATAAAAAATTGACCAGTGAAAAAGAACAGTGTCAAGAAACAGATCTATGCATACATGGACACTTGATTTATGATGGGGATGGCACTGCAGAGCGGTGAGGAAATGATATTCTGTTCAATAAATAGTGCTGAGGCAACTGGATACCCATATGGGAAAAAATGACATGGGATCCCTATCTCACACCAGACATAAAAACTAATTCCAGATAGATTGTAGATCTAAAGGTGAAAAGGAAAACAAAACAAAACAAAAATCCAAGAAATAAGAGAGAAAATTTTTAAGACCTGGGAATTGGGAAAGATTCTTACAACAACACATATTCATTAAGCATAAAGGAAAGGATGGACAAATTGGGCTATATTAAAGTCAAGAACGTCTGGCTATTAAAAGACACCTAGGAGTGAATAAACACAAAGTATAGAGTGGAAAAAGGAGTTTTAAGCATGTTTAGAGGGTGGAATTCAGTGAGGAGAGATGGAGATGCCTCCACACGCATGATGGTCTCTCACTGGGGTAGGAACCCAGGAAAGGTCAGGTGAGAAAAACGTTAACAAACAGGTCTGTGACTACAGTACTTAGATGTGTGGAGTGAGGAAGAGAGAGACTGAGGATGTCCCCTAGGCTTCTAACTTGGGGGAGCAATGGTTGTGGAACCTTTCGCTAAGACAGGACATTCTGGAGTAGCAGCTGGTGGGGGAGGGGTGCCGGATGCGCCTGGTTTTTGAACTGGCGAGTTCGAGGTACCTATGGGCTGTCCAGGGGAAGGCAGCCTGAAGGTGGTTGGGCACATGGGTCTGGGGCTCCATTTGAGATTCAGTGGCCTTCAAGGGGAGCCGATGTTCCAGGACCACATGAAACCAACCAAGGAATGTGCAAAGTGAGGAGAGAGGAGGGTAGGGTACTTTCATCAGAGGGGCGCCGTGGGCCGGGGTCTACTTCTAGCCTTCAACTTTCTGAAGGCCTTAGACAATATTAGAAGGCTGAAAAAAACCCCGTTTGTTTACCGAAAAAAAAAAAAAAAAACACAAGCAAAACAAAACATAAATCACTGCAAAATATAATTATTTCAAATGCAAGATTATAAAAAGCCTTTCAGCTTTTTTACAACGAAAACATTATTTAATCGTGACATGCGTGCATTTAATATACCTAATATATTTGACGTGATGTGGGGCCAGGACCATCCCGCCCCGCAACATGTCATAGTTCCAGAAGTCTATGAAGGGGGCCCAGGTCAGAGAAGATGTCTCCTACGGTGCTCTGCTCTGTACCCCTGAGGGTTCCTGGCTCTCGGGCCGCGCCCCCTACCCTACCCTTCCTCCACGCTGCGGCGCCCCTCACCTTTGCAGAGGGTATTCACGTGATACTGGGTGTAGAGCTTCTGGGTTCGTAGCTCTTTGAGGTACAATTCCCTCAAGATCTGGTTCTGATGGACTTCATCTGGGACTACCTCCTCCTTTTGGTGTACGGCCATGACCTTGGCCCTGCTAGGTCGGGTCCCGCTCCTTCTGGACGCTCGCCCAGTGCAGGGTCTCCGGCCGTCTCCAAGCAACAGTGTCGCACGCCGTCTCCAGGCAACAGCGTTCCTTGGAATCTTATTTCGAATCCCGCCTCTTCTGGCGCTCTGTTCACCTTGTCCAGCTTCTCAGGACCAAGCCTGGTTACTAGGACCGCCCCTCAGCTGCCAGGAGAGGACTTGCAGTCCAGTGGCAAACCCAGGAGGTAGTGGACTTGTCATTGGACCTCACCTTGACCAGTCATTTCCTAAAAAAGATTTTGGAAGGAGCCAGAAAGCTCTCCCACTTTAAAGCAGATGCCAGGAATTGAAACCCTCTTGTGTCTATCTCACAAAACAGTGGAAGTTTCCTATCTGAGACCACGTTCTGGCTGATCTCACCCGTGCGATAATATAGATAGAATCACCTTTTCCTAATCTAAGTAACTTGGGGAGTTTATAGTTTATATTTAAACAAAAATTTTTTTAAAGATTTTATTTTTTCCTTTTTCTCCCCAAAGCCCCCTGGTGCATAGTTGTGTATTTTTAGTTGTGGGTCCTTCTAGTTGTGGCATGTGGGATGCCACCTCAGTGTGGCCTGATAAGCGGTGCCATGTCCGCACCCAGAACTCCAACCAGGGAAATGCTGGGCCACCAAGGCAGAGCACGAACTTAACCATTAGGCCACGGGGCCGGCCCCAATATATTTTAAAATTTTAATTGTGGTAAAGTACACAACATAAAATTTACCATCGTAACCATTTTTAAGCACACAGTTCAGTAGTGTTAAGTGTAATCACATTGTGTGAGACCAATCTCCAGAACTTTTTTATACCCGTTAGACAACCATCCCCAGCCCCTGGCAACCACTATCTTACTTTCTGTTTCTATGAATTTGACTACTCTAGATACCTCATATAATATTTATTTTCAAAGAACTAATAGTCGGTCTAGCATAAAGAAAGGAGCCACCCCTGGTTTCAGTAAGCACCTCTAGACGCTGACTCCAAACCTTGTGCTCCTCCCCACTATGTACTTCCTTCCTTCACTCACTAATTCATTCATTCATGACACAGTGTGTTCCAGGATGTGTTTGGGTCTGGGAGACACAGTGTTGAACATGCCAGTTGTGTGGACGAGTCTGCAGTTTCCCAAGCCCAGCAGGTGATTTCATGATTCCTTGTTTTAGCTCCTTCTTCTTCCCTTGGTAAACTCTTTCCCCTGTTGTCTGTCAGGGGAACACCTACCCACTGTTTGTGATAAGCTCACATGTAATCTTTCAAAAACCTTTCTAGACTCTCTAGCCCCTAGTCCACTTTTTCTTTGTGCCAGTCTCTAACCCAAATCTGTAACCATGAGAATACTTAACTAAACTTACTCATTTCTATGTAAGTTACTTGAGAACAAGAAACATGTCTGGTCGGTCTCTGCATTACCAGTACCTGGCACAATATGTACAGATGTAAGTGAGTGGTAAATGTTTTATGGCTGACTGGATGTCTGGCCAGTTGGCGCTGTGATTTCCTTCTACTTACATCATTACATAAACCCCTACATCATTCAGAAATGCAAACAGATTTTATCAAACCTGGCTGAGCTGGAGAAGCACCTTCATTCCTTATCATTGTGAGCCATGTGTGAGTCCATTTTCTCATTAAGGCTCAAACAGCTTTCTGAAGTTTTTGCTACCTTCCTAAGGCTAAGACGAAAACAGACCATCATTTTGCTTAGGAGCCATATTCTCAGGTTTGGGAGAACTAGCAAGACTGTGTTTGTCCCCTGCCAAACTGAGCTTTCTTCAGCATGGGCCCAGTGGTCCAACAGCCCTCACTCTCCACAGGGTTAGGGCTAGGTGGAGGCTCGGAAGGAAGAGGGGTCAGAATCTGGTAGCTTTATCTTTTCTCCTCCCAAGCGCCACATTCTTATGTTTCCCAGGTGCCCTGATACAGGGTCTGAATATATCACAGCCCAGCCCAGTTCAGCCCAGCCCAGTGACTCTCTTTGGGGCTAGCTTCTGCTTACCTTGGGTCATTCCAGGCCATCAGTGTGCTTCTAAACTCTGAGACGATGTGTATTGAGAAATACTGAAGAGTTGAAGAACACAATGGCCCTAGCCCTATAACTTCTCATCCAGCATCTGAGGTTGCAGACTTTACATCTCTGGGTCACCTCTCAGTTATGATCAGATGCAGAGACCCAGATGACAGGGATATCAGCTAGAAAATATAATAGAAAATAAAATACCATTCATATTAGAAACAAACTGAATTATCTAGGAATTAACCTAACAAAGAATGCATGAAATTTTCAAGAAGACAAAAATTAAAACTATTTCATAACATACAAAAGATCTTGATAAATAAGGAGATGTCCCTTGTGTGCTGGTGAGACAACTATGCGGCAGTTAGAACCACAAACTCAATGTCCAGTAATACAATCATATAGACAGACCTTAAAAACAATGTTGATTGAAAGAAGCTAGAAAGGGCTAAGGTTTATATGGTAATACTATTAATTAAACTACAAACAGACCAATTCTATGTGGTACAAGACCAATTCTATCTGATATAGAGTTAATATCTACTGCGGTAGGAGATTGGGAAGGCAAAATATAGGGTAAAAAAATGAAACAAGACTTTTACTCCTGGCCACAATAGAGTAATTGGCACTGGGCTTGCCCTCCTGCTGCAAACAACCAGACAAAATAGATGAAACAACTGTTTTCAGACATTAGATAACAAGCAGTACTGGACTGTGTTCCTTGAGAGAAGAGAAAGACGTGAGATGAGCCCTACAATTTGCCCAAGTTTCCTCCTGGAGACGCTTTCTAAAATATTCAAGAAAGGGGAATCCAAGCTGAACATGGCAAAGTTGTCTGGTTAAGAAGACATAGATTGAAGTTCAGGGAGTGTGAGATAGCTGAAAATTTGTGGAGTAGCAAACTGGGGAGGATGGAGAAAGAGAGAGAGAGAGAGAAGAAAAGAGAAAAGAAGAGACCAGAACTGTGCTGGAATCCCCTTCACTGAATGGGCTTAATAGCTTATTAGACACTTAAGAATAAAATACCAGTGAACTTGAAGACATTTCAGTAGAGACCATCCAGATTGAAGCATCGAGAGAAAAAGACAACAAAAATGAAAAGAGCCTCAGGGGCCTGTGGGTAGGCGAGTGTCCAGCATACAATTTTTTGGAGTCTCAGAGAGTGAGGAGTTGAGGGACATAAAAATATTTGAAAAATTAATGATAAATAATTTCCAAATTTGGTGAAAACTATAAATTCATAGATCGAAGAACTTCAATATAATCCAAGTAATATAGATATAAAGAAACCAACGCCAAAGCACCTCATAATCAAACTCCTGAAAACTAGTGATAAAAGCATCAAGAGGGGAAAAAGGAGATTATGTAAAGAGTAACAAACACAGTATTCACAGACCTCTCATTAAAACTATGTAAACTTGAATCCAATGGAACTTCATTAATGTGTTGAAAGAATAAATCTGTCAGCCTAGAATTCTATAATCAGTGAAAATATCCTTCAAAAATGAAGGTCAATAAAGAGTTTTTAAGTAAAGAAGAGCAGTGAGAATTTCTCACCAGCAGACATGTTAGAAATGTAAGAAATGGTAAAGGATGTTTGTCAGGACAAAGGAAAATAACAATAGATAAAACTTGGATCATCACAAAGAAATAAAAGAGTTCCAGAAATGGCATGTGGGTAAATATAAAAGAATTCTTTTTCATTTTCCAATTTCTCTTAAAAATAATTGACAGTTTAAAACAAAAATGATAACAGTGTATTGTGGAGTTTAACATACATGGCAATAAAATGTATAATAATAAAACCATGAAAAACAGTGAAGGGAAATGGAAGTACACAATTGTACTATCCTTACATTATACAGAAAGTAGCATAATATTATTTGAGGGTATGCTGGAACAAGCTTAAGATGCATACTGTAAGCCATACAGAAACCACTAAAAAAAAAAAAAAAGACAAAAAGTACAGCCGATAAGTGAAAAAAAAAGAAAATAATACTAAGAATTTTGATTAATCCAAAAGAAGACAAGAAAAGAGGAAATAAGAAACAAAAGAGAGATGTCACAAACAGACAACAAATAGAAAGATAGTAGACAAACTCAACAATATCGATAATTCATATTGAACATAAACTACTCCAATAAAAAGCAGAAATTGTTGGACTGGATCAAAGTAAGACCCAACTGTATGCTATCCCCAGTAAATCTCCTTTAACTATAAGGACACATATAGATGAAAAGTAAAAGCTAGACACAGATATATCTAGCAAATATGGAGTGGCTGTATTTATATCAGACAAAGTAGACTTCAGGACAAGGCATATTACCAGGGATAATTCGAGACATTTTATCTTTCTATCTATCTATCTATCTATTATTTTTTAAGGAAAGCAGGCAAGGAGAATAGACCAGTGGATGTGTTTTTTGTTCGTTTGTTTTCTCAGTGGGATGATTTGCCCTAAGCTATCATCTGTTGCCATAAGCTAACATCTGTTGCCAATCTTCCTCCTTTTTTTCTTCCTTTCACCACCCCAAATCCCCAGTACATAGTTGTGCATAGTTGTAAATTCTTCTGGTTCTTCTATGTGAGCCACCACCACAGCATGGCTACTGACAGACAAGTGATGTAGTCCCACGCTCAGGAACCAAATCTGGGCCCCTGAAGCAAAGTGTGCTTAACTTTAACCACCAGGCCATCAGGGCTGGCTCAAGAGACATTTTGTAATGATGAAAGGGTCAATTCACCAAGAATACATAAAGATTCTAAATGTGTGTGGCTCTCATAACAGAACTTTAAAATAAATGAAGCAGAAATGGACAGAACTGAAAAGAAAGATAAACCCACAATTATAGGTGGATATTTCAACATTCCTATCTCAGTAACTGATAAAGTAGGTAAACAGAATATCAGTAAGCATAAGAAGACTCAAAAACACTATCAACCAACCTGATCTAATTGACAATGATAGCACAGTTGACCCATCAAATAGCAGGATATGCTTTCTTTTAAAGTGCACATAGAACACTAGACAACAGAGACCACTAGTTAGGCCAGAAAACAAGTCTCAGTAAATTTAAAAGGATTGAATCATATACAGTATGTTCTCTGAACACAACAGAATTTAAGTTAGAAATCAATTACAAAAGATAGCTAGGAAATCCAAAATGTCTGAAAATTAAATAACACATTTCCAAATAAGTCATGAATCTAAGAAAATCACGATAAATTGGAAGATATTTTGAACTGATCAAAAATAAACATATCTATATTAAGATTTTTAGGATGCATATAAGGACCCCACTGTATAAGGCAGTGCTTGGAGGGAATTTTATAGCTTTTAATGCTAGTATTAGAAATGAACCAAGGTACAATATTGTTGAACTAGGCTTCCACCTTAGGAAGCTAGGAAAATAAGAGCAAATTTTAATTAAAAGTAATAAATAGAAGGGAAGAAATAATAAAGGTAAACTGGAAATCACATATGGAAAACAGGCAATTAATAGATAAAATCAATAAAATCAAAAGCTGGTTGAAAATAACAACAACATGGATAAACTTCTAGCGAGACTAATCAAGAGAAAAAAAGAAGAAATGAGAAGACACAAATGAACAATATAATGAATAAAACGGGCACCACTACAATCCTACAGACATTATAGGGATGATAAGAAGATATTATAAAGAGTTTTGTCAATAAATTTGACAACTTAAATGAAATGGATAACTTCTATGAAGATATAAATTTCCAGAAATGACCAAAAAAAGGAGAGAAAATTGGCATAGCTTTGCATCTATTTAAAAAAATTGAACTTGTAATTGAAAAACTTCCTACAGTATAACCCTCCAGGCCTGGAAGGCTTTTTTTGTTAATCTGTCAAACACATAATGAAGAAAATACGAATCCTCTGCAAACTCTTTCAGAAAACAGAAGTGGAGGGAATATTTCCCAACTCATTTTATGAAGTCAGCATTACACTGATACCAAAACCAGACAAATTTGTAAAAAAAGGAGAACAAAGGATAAATATCCTTCTTGAACAGAAATGCAAAAATCCTTAACTGTTATAATATCCAGTAATATATATAAAACGAGTAATACGTCCTGACTAATGTAGATTGTCAAATAATGCAAAGTTGGCTTAACATTTGAAAATACCAATCACAATGTTAACAAATAAAAGAGCGAAGCTGCCTGATCCTCTGTCTACATTTGGCACATGGGGAGGGAAGGTCAAAGGGGAGAGCTGCTGGTTTCTTGATGGGAGATCCTTGCACCTCCCTCCTGGCACCACAACTTGTCAGAACTCACAGTTCCAAGTTAGGGATTCATGATAAGCATTCACATTTAAAAACCAAACCAAAACAAAACCTTTTTATTGAAACATCACACATACACAGAAAAGTACTTTCTTCCAAAATGTATAGCTCACACTGATTTACCAAAGAGTACACATTTGTAACCATCACACAGCCAAGAAGTAGCACATTGACAGCACCTCAAAGCCTCTCTCATGCCCCTTCCCAAACACTGTCTTCTCCCTGCTCCTCAAAGGTGGCTGATATCTTGACTTCTGACAACGTAGATTACTTTATCTGTTTTTTTCACTTTATATGCATGGAATCATCCAGTATTGTATGCTTTTGTGTTTGGCTTCTTTTGCTCAACATTATGTTTGTGAAATTCATCCATGCAGTTGCCTACAGCTGTGGCTTCTTTACTTTTCATTACTGTGTAGTGTTCACTTTTGTGACTATATCACAATTTATTTATTCTGGTACTGATGTGCATTGGGTTGTTTCAGTATGGACTCTTATAAATAATGTTGTATGAATATTTTGTAGATGACTCTTGCTGCACATGTGCAAATATATTGTTGGCTACTCAGGAGTGGAATTGGTGGATTATAGGGAATGCCCATGGTTTGGTTTTACTAGGTGATACCAAGCTGTTTTCCAAAATGGTGGCACTGACATACTCTGCTGTTAGGGTTCTTGTTGCCCCACATCCTTGTCAACACTTAGCATTGTCAGTCTTTTAAATTATAGCCATTCTGGTGGGTATGTAGTGGCATCCCATTATGGTTTTGTTGTGTTTTTTTCTGCTTTTTCTCTCCCAAATCCCTCCAGTACCTAGTTGTATATTTTTTAGTTGTGGTTCCTTCTAGTTGTGGCATGTGGGACACTGCCTCACCGTGGCCTGATGAGTGGTGCCATGTCTGTGCCCAGGATCTGAACCAGCAAAACCCTGGGCCAACAAAGCGGAATGTGCGAACTTAACCACTCAGCCATGGAGCCGGCCCCCCATTATGGTTTTAATTTGCATTTTCCTATTGACTAGTGAGGTTGACCAACTTTTTTGTGTGTGAGTTTATTGGTCATGTGGACATCTTTTGTGAAGTGCCTGTTCCAAGTCTTTTCCTATTTTTCCTTTGGCTTGTTTGTTTTTTCTTTATCAATTTGTTGGCATTCTTTATTATATTATTGATATAGCCCTTTGAGAGTTATATATGCTGCAAATTAATTTTCCCACTGTATGGCTTCCCTTTTTAGTCCCTAAATGGCATATTTTTGATAACTAAAAAGACACTTAATGGTTTCTTTTTGAAATTTAAATGTAGGCAAATGGATCAGTCTTTCCTGTTATGGTTAGTGATTTCTAGATACCACCTAAGACATATTTTCATAATTAGGTGTTGTGAAGATATTTTCTTATATTACCTTGTAGATCAGTGCTGTCCAATAAAAACTATGAAGTAAGTCAGATGTGTAATTTAAGATTTTCTAGTATCCAATTGAAAGAGCAAAAAGAAACAGAAAATAGGCCAGCCCCATGGTCCAGTGATTAAGTTTGTCATGCTCTGCTTTGGCGGCCCAGGTTCAGTCCCCTGGCATGGACCTACATCACCTGTTAGTGGCCATGCTGTGGTGGCGACCCACACACAAGATAGAGGAAGACAGGTACAGATGTTAGCTCATGGTCAATCTTCCTCAGCAAAAAAACCCATAAATTAATATTGAGAATATTTTATTTAACCCAATATTTCCAAATTATTATCATTTCAACATTTCAATATAAAAATATTGAGATAGTTCATTGTTTTTTCATACTAAGTATTTGAGATCTGGTGCAAATTTTACACTTAATAGCACATCTCAAGTCCTCAATAACCATGCATGGCCAGAGCAACCCTAGATTTGTTTCTACCCTTTCACATTTAGATCTATGTTCTACCTGAAATTGATTTTTGTGAGTAGTGTGAGGTTGGGGTAAGGTTTAATATTTTTTCATATGAGTCTTCAGTTGACTGAGGACAAATTTATTCAAAAGATAGTCCTATCCCACTGTTTTGCTCTGCTACTTTTGTCTTAAAGCAAGTGTCCACATATGTGTGAGTCTGTTTCTGGACTCCATTCTATGCCATTTGTCTATTTGTCTATGCTTACACCGGTACTACAATATCTTAATTACTCTAATTTTTGTAATAAGTCCTGATATCTGGTAAGGAAATAGTTTCTACCAGTTCTTAAGAGAACCTTGGCTGTTCTTGGCCATTTTCCTTTCCACATGATTATAATCCACTTGTCAAGTTCCCCAAAAGTATCTGCTAGGATTTTGCTTGAGATTTCATTGAATCTATATTCAGTTTGAAGATAGCACTTAAAAAAAACTGTATCATCTGGTTTTTCTGATGCTGTCATCATTGGGTAGGATCTGGACATGTCTGTGCCTTCTAAATTCTGCTACCTGCCACATTCTGGGGCACAGGCAGCATCAGAGCTTTGATGAGAACACAATGGAGGGCCCCCTCCCATTTCTTGCAGGAGGCATTTCTCAAGGGCAGAAAGTCCCTGGCAGTGTTCTAGAATCTTAAGAAGCAGAGAAATGGAGTCTTGGAGGAAGTAGGCCAAAACCCTTGAATCTACACCCATCTGTAATAGGGACCTTGTGCCCTGTGTGTGAGTTCTCAGGGGTCACCCATTCTTGCAGTCACTTCAACCCAGGGTAGATCAATAGGATTACCCTTCTAGAGATCAAATAAGTTAGAGTGCTTTCCACTTTTCACTTGCTCTACCTTCTCTGTCACTAGACTTTCTGTTTGCTCTGTGGTCAGAGACAAATTTCCATGTAGGAACCAGTTATAAATGTAGAGGCTTGTGCAGGCTGGTTGATCAGGCAGGAAAGGAAAAGAACAGAGTCCCTAGAAGAGGAACTTGTTAAAGATGTCTCTGGCATCTGAAGAAGATTGATCAGATGAGGATGAAGGCAAAATACAATTAGTAGTATAACCAGGATCTGGACATGGCTGAAAACATACTCTTACAGCTTCTTACATGATCCATAAGAAACGGGGCTTACCTTTCAAGCTGAGTGTCGGTTGGCCACCATCTTGAACTCCCTGTGTCCACCAGTTCAGGCTACTGCAAATCCACAGTCCTGGCAATTCTGAACTTCACCAGAACTGGCCCACTAATGGAGAAATCATCTCTCCAGGACGAGATTTGTGAATCATCTGGTTAAAGGTTCTGATTAGGGGTTGCTGGAGTATTGGCAAGGATCACAGTCTAAGAGACTAGAAAGAAGGGCTAGAAGGAGTAGGGACAAAGATAGAGCCATTACAGGAAAGGAGAGGCAGTCAAACAGGGTGGCCACTGGATGGTCTGGAAGGAATAGAGGAAGTGCTGGGCGGGGAAATCACAAAGGTAGGGAGGCAGGAAGGGATTACCTTAGTCAGAGGAAGGAAACGGGCAGGGCAGGAAGCTGAACGAGACGGATGGCGCTGGGGAGTAGGCTGAGAGCCAAAAGAGTGAGGAGACAGGGCAGGAAGGTGGTTTGGAGAACGAGAGCAAGAAGGAACAGGAGGAGGAGGTGGAGGATGGGGTTGAGATGGGGAAATGAGAGGTAGCTTTCTCCTCATTTTTCCAAACGGCATTTCTCCAGTTACTTGTCTTGTCAAAATGAGTAACTGAGCATAAGCTCAGACCTGCTCCAGCAGTTATCTCACACACTAGGCTTTGCATCATCCCATGACTGAATGCCCATTATGAAACGTACATACCTCTCTCTGTGGGGCTAGACCAATCAGGGAAGTGGGCCCAGTTTCTAGGTTTAAGAGTGATCATGGGAAATAGCAGAGAGAAGAAATGGGGCTGTAATATTAGTCCCTGTTCCTTGGGATAACATATAGTTTTGCCACTCAGTAGGCAAAGATTGGTCAAAGGACTAGGATAGCGTTAGGGGGCTGGTGGTTTGGATCTAGGAGCACAGATCTGAAGCAGGAATGAGCGAAGTGGGGAGATCAGTGACCCCATCTATTTAAGCTGCTACATTTTTTTTACTAAAGGATTTTAACTTCTTCATTCTAAAATACGTATTTTTAATTAAAATTAAAATTTTTTCTGAATTCGCTTATTTCTTTTTTTCTTATTTATTTGAATGTTTTTTGGATTTGTTACAAAACATTTAAAGACTAAGTAAATAATATCTTTGTTTATGTTAGGCCTCACTTCTACCTGTATTTTCTTTTTTACTAAAAGTCTAAACTACTTGAATTGACTTACTTTGATCTTGTTCCAACCTAGAAATAGGCAGTTTCTGGTCTATAGAGCTCTCATTTCTTGGTAATATCACAGCCAATGTACCTTTTTATTTCTTCCATAGCTGAATTTAGAACTATCAGTAATTCATGTAACATAAACATAAGGCCAAGTAAGTGTATTTATATTATTTGAAGAGTTTTATTGCATCTGAGAGTTTGTATTGTCAATTCAATAATGTGTTTAAATATTATTTATGCAAATTGCCATATGAAATTCAATGCTATTTCATGGAAGACTTTAATTTTTAAAAGATTCTCACTGATTACTAAATTTTTAAAAAATGAGATGTGATCTAGTCCTCTGTAGTCCTTCAGCACCCTCCAGGTGCAAAAGATTAGCCATCTGAATGCCACAAGAACCCTATTGATGAACTTCAATAACCTGCTAGGACTCAGGTCAATAACATTGTAATGGAACTATGGTAGGAGAAAACTGTCCTGAACAGGACTTCAACCACTTACAATTTTTATTTATTATACTTGCTTATAATCTGTTTTCCTTATTCTTTCAAATTTCATTCACATTAGGGAGCTTCATTTAGATACAGAGGCTTAAGTGGAAGATGTACCAGATGGAAGACAGGTTCATTACATAAGAATTTACTTGTTGAAAATAATGTGAATGAATTTCTTCCTGTAATATAATATGTAGCCTCTTAAGATCAATTTTCCTACCCTACCATATCTAAATAGCTATCTCAGGATTGTGCATATGTAACTGCAAGTGGAACATTCGGCAGTGATCATAACGAGGAAGTACAATCACTGTCCACTAACAGTGGCTTTGTAATTAATTGTTCTCTCAAGGATTTAGTCACTTAAACCCAGGATAGTTCTGATCTGTGTACTTTAAATATTATGTCTTTCTAGGAGACTTGCAGTTTAGCTACCTGGATATCGGTATCTCAAAGTCACTGTCTCCAAAATAAAAATTATCTTCTCCTCACAAATCAAGAGGTTCTCTTATTTTCTGTTTCTGTTAAAGCCATCATGATTCCAGTCACCCATATTAAATCCTGCTTTCTCACACTGTACACCCTTTCAAGTACCAAGTCTTATAGATTCTCCCTCTTATTCCTACCACCTCCTCTCCTTTTCTGCTGCAACCACCCTAATTCAGCTTCCCTTTCCCATTCTTTTTTAAAAAATTATTTTATTGCGGTCATATTGGCTTAGAACATTGTGCAAATTTCAGATGTACATCACTATATTTCGGTTTCTGTAGAGACTGCATCGTGTTCACCACCAACAGTCCAGTTTTTAATCCATCACCATGCATATGTGCCCCTTCATCCCTTTCACCTTCCCCCCAATCCCTCCTCCTCTGATAACCACTCGTCTGTTCTCCTGATCCATGTATTTATCTTCTACAATGAATGAAATCATATGGTGTTTATCTTTCTCTGTCTGACTTATTTTGCTGTGCATAATCCCTTCAAGGTCCATCCTGTGTTATCACAAATGGCACAGTTTTGTCTTTTTATGGCTGAGTAGTGCTTCATTGTATATATGTATACCACATCTTCTTTATTCATTCATCTGTTGATAGGTACTTGGAGTATTTCCATCTCTTACCTATTGTGAATAATGCTGTGGTGAGCATGGGGGTGCATATATCTTTTTCAATTATTGATTTCTTGTTCTTTGGATAAATATCCAGTAGTGGGATACCTGGATTATATGGTATTTTTATTTTTAATATTTTGAAAAATCTCCATTCTGTTTTCCATAGTGGCCACACCAGTTTGCATTCCTACCAGCAGTGTATGAGGGTTCCCTTTTCGCCAATCCTCTCCAATGTTTATTTTTTGTTTTGTTAATTATAGCCACTTTGAAGAGTGTGAGGTAATCTAATTGCAGTTTTGACTTGCATTTCCCTAATAATTAGCGATATTGAACATCTTTTCATGTACCTGTTGGCCATCTGTATTATCTTCTTTGGAAAAATGTCCGTTCAGATCCTCTGCCCATTTTTTTATCGGGTTGTTCATTTTTTGTTGTTGAGTTGTATGAGTTCTTTATGTATTTTGGAAATTAACACCTTGTTGGATATAAGATTGGCAAATATTTTGTCCCAGTTGGAAGGTTGTCTTTTCGTTTTATTCATGATTTCCTTTACCTTGAAGAAGGTTTTAGTCAGACATAGTCTCATTTGTTTACTTTTTATTTTCTTTCCCTTGCCCAAGTAGACATGGTATTGAAAACATGCTGCTAAGACTGATGTCAAAGAGTGTACTGCCTATATTTTCTTCTAGGAGTTGTATGGTTTCAGGTCTTACATTCAAGTTTTTAATCAATTTTGAGTTAATTTTTGTATATGGTGTAAGATAATGGTCTACTTTCACTCTTTTGCACGTGGCCATCCAGTTTTCCTATCACCATTTATTGAAGAGACTTTTGTTTCTCCATTGTGTGCTCTTGGCTCCTTTGTCAAAGATTAGCTGTCCATAGATGTGTGGTTTTCTTTCTGAGCTTTCAATTTTGTTCTATGATCTGTGTGTCTGTTTTTCTGCCAGTATCATGCCATTTTGATTCTTCATTCCTTTTCCATGAAGAATCTCACTGGGATTCTGATTGGATTTGCATTGAATCCTTAGATTCCCTTAGGTAACATGAACATTTTAACTACATTTATTCTTCCACTCCATGATTGTTTCAATTTCTTTATGTCTTCTTCAATTTCTTTCAATGATATCTTCTAGATTTCAGTGTATAGGCCTTTCATCTCATTGGTTAAATTTATTCCTAGGTAGTTTATTGTTTTTTGCCATTTTAAATAAGATTGTATTCTTGATTTCTCTTCCAGTCAGTTCGTTATCAGTGTATAGAAATGCAGGTGATTGTGTTATGTTGATTTTGTACCCTGAAACTTTACTGTATTTGTTGATCATTTCTAATAGTTTTTTTTGTGGATTATTTAGGGTTTTATATATATATATATATATATATATATATATATAAAATTATGTCATCCACAAATAGTTACGGTTTTACTTCTTCCTTTCCTATTTGGATCCCTTTTATTTCTTTTTCTTGCCTAATTGCTCTGGCAACAACTTCCAGTAGTACATTAAATAAGAGTGACCACAATGGGCATCCTTTTCTTGTTCCTGTTCTCAGAGAAATAGCTTTCAGTTTTTCACCATTAAGTATGATGTTAGCTGTGGATTGGTCTTATATGGCCTTTATTATGTTGAGGTATTTTCCTTCCATACTATTTTATTGAGAGTTTTTATCATAAACAGATGGATGTTGGGTCTTGTCAGATGTTTTCTCTGCATCTATTGAGATGATTGCATGATTTTTATCCCTCATTTTGTTAATGTGGTGTATCACGTTGATTGATTTGCCAATGTTGAACCATTCTTGCATCCTTGGAGTAAATCACACGATCATGGTGTATGATCCATTTCATGTATTGCTGTATTCAATTTGCCAATATTTTGTCAAGGATTTTTGCATCTATGTTCATCAGTGACATTGACCTGTAATTTTCCTTGTTTTTGTGTTGTCCTTGTCTGCCTTTGGTTTCAGGGTAATGTTGATGTCAGAGAATGAGTTAGGAAGCAACCCATTCTCTTCAATATTTTGGGATAGTTTGAGAAGGATACTTATTGAATCCTCCTTGAATCATTAGTAGAATTCACCAGGGAAGCCATCTGGTCCTGGACTTTTCTTTTTTGGGAGGTTTTTGATTACTGTTTCAATCTCTTTACTTGTGATTGTTCTATTCAGAGTCTCTATTTCTTCTTGATTCAGTTTTGAAAGGTTGTATGATTCTAAGAATTTATCCAGTTCTTCTAGGTTATGCAGTTTGTCAGCATATAACTTTTCATAGTGTTCTCTTATTATCCTTTGTATTTCTGTGGTATTGGTTATAACTTCTCCTCTTTTGCTTCTGATTTCATTTATTTGAGTCTTCTCTCTTTTTTCCTTAGTGAGTCTGGCTAAGGGTTTGTCAGTTTTGTTTATCTTCTCAAAGAATCAGTTCTTAGTTTCATTGACCATTTCTATTGTTTTGTTTTAGTCTCTATTTCATTTATTTCTGCTCTAATTTTTATTATTTCCTTCCTTCTACTGATCTGGGGCTTTGTTTATTCTTGTTTTTCTAGTTCTTTTAGATATAGTGTAAGATTGCTTACTTGAGATGTTTCTAGGTTCCTGTGGTAGGCCTATTTTGCTATAAATTTCTGCTTTTGCTGCATCCCATAAGAGTCGCTATGTTGTTATTTCATTTTCATTTGTCTCCAGGTATTTTTTTATTTTTACTTGATTTCTTTATTGATCTAATGGAAATTCAGTAACATGCTGTTTAGTCTCCACATATTTGTGACTTTCCCGGCTTTATTCTTGCTGTTTATTTCTAGTTTCAT